AGTTTATACCGTATAAAATGGGAAGCTATTAAATTCATTGCTTATAATTTAATTTTCATTCATTTGATGTAAGAAAAAAAGATGATTGTTCTAACAAAATGACTTCAATTTGTACAAAATTTGAATGTAACGTCAGGCGGATTGATACGTTTTTGACGTAAGTCATTGTGACGTAGGCAACCCATTTTATACGATATGAAGTAAATTTTTTATCCAATCAAATACAGCGTTGCAACCAGAATTAAATTATTGTTATTTAATGCACAAACTAAACCAACTAAAAGTTATTCAATATATAAGATAAATCAACTTAAAGGGACCTTAGAAAAACGCGGTTTCGTGTTAATTTGGTATAAAAAATGTCATAGACATGAAGGTATGACGCATGAGAACCTCCTCTCCCCGGCTGAAATAAATTTTCACATTAAGGAAAGGACTTAAGTGTACGTCTTTTTTTTCCTTGTCAAGAAATATCTGGGTTGGATATTTTTTTAACATGAGTGACCCTCTTGAAAAAAATGTTGTAGATCCGCGCCTGTTTTTTTTTTTTCTTGTTTTTTTTTTTTGTTTTTTTTTTTTTGTTTTTTTTGTTTTGAAAATTCACATAAATATCAATATAAAAATGAAAATTATTCAAATATGTGTAGTAGTTAGCAGTAAGCTGCTGACAGTTGGCAGTAAGCAGTCAGCAGTTGGCAGTAAGCAGTTGGCTGTCGTATATGGCATTCCATAGGAATGCAAATCAATAATATATATTTTAATTTTTTTATTTCTTTTTTTATACTATAGAAGGTATACCATTTTCATCCTTACACTCGGATAATTATTTATTTCAAATTAATACATTTTAAAAGATTTTGACATGCCTCCACAAAGTTCCGTTTTCCTACATGTAATTTTATAAATACATGTACATGTTTAAAGTTAATATATCTGTCAGTCATAAATGCCAGTGAAAATACAATTAAAAACGATAATAAACAAATGCACTTAAGTGAATTATTTATGTTTAATTTGTTTATTATATTTATTATGACGAAAACAAAGACTGTAACTTTTACTTGGTTCTTTTTTCTAATGTATTTACCAGCCATAGAGAAAAGTGTTGTTTCTACAAAGTAACTCGACAAAATTAGACAGTAGGCGTTAAACTCGGGGATAATCTGATTAAAACACCATTAACGTAACCAAAACATGAGAACTGAAGTTCTAGACAAGATGCACCGAGTGAAAAAAGGAATTGGGGCGACGTTATGTAAGAAAAAAGCCACCATAGATAGAGAAGTCTTACTTCTTTAATTAATAAAAACGTTTAAAACATTGATTTCTTTTTTTCTATTCTAAGCCAAACATAGTAATCACAGATATTCACAGTAAGCAAAGCAATTTTGTGGAATGCAATTTCCTTATGTATATACCAAAAATTAAAATCAATTGTCTTAAACTTTAAAATCCATGAACGTTTTAGGTTATTACAAAGTTGCAGATCTTTTTTCATGTAGTTCAATTTGTTAAGAGGGTATCTCTTATTCTGAAAATAGCCATTATAATCGCATTTTATGATCTCATTAACTAACTAGCATTTAATGTAGCAGTATTTTCATATTCCTGACAATCTTGCACGAAACTAGAGTCATTCACGCGTGAAAGTTTTTCAAAAGACTAGCAGAAGCGATATTAATAAGCAGAAAAATGGCCGATATCCTTTGGTAATGGATATTTCAATATCCCTGTCTGCAGAGACAATATGGTCACACGTACAAAGTGTCTCTATTCACCATTGGCGGAAGGCAATGGCTTGATTAAACTGTGTTAACTCCAAGCTGAAGTAAAGGGCGACTATCAGGATTTATTAATTAAGAATTCAAATCTCAGCGGTACATTAGAAGAATTACTCTCCATTTTTTCAGTGATTGATGTTCAATAAAAGTCGAAACCATTTTCTGTTTAGGTTTCGTGTTTCCGAATAATAATTGGTATCTGATCGACTGAAAACGAACCAGCATTTCCTATAATTACTCTGTTTGATTGATATTAAATTGATAATTCAAGTACGCGTGTAATTTAACTAACCGATTACAATTTAACCAATCACAGAAGGAAATCACTAGGGCTTTGTTTAATCAAATCATATCCAAACATTAATATAAAAAAGCCCGTTCTGAATGAGCAATCCAGAGCTTTGTTTTTATTGTAGAATGAACATCAACCACTCCGTTATCATTTTAATGCATAAATTCCGGAACACTACCGTTTTCGCTTATCTGATTATACTTCCGCATGTGACATTAATAAATATTAACTTCTTTCTTCGTTTCATCACAGTTACGAGTGTAGTGTTAATGAATGTGCAATTATCAATAAATCAAGTGACCTTAAAATTCTATTGCACTTCAAAGCACACATTGAAAGTGATTAAAAATTGTTCATTAAGAAACATAATCTTATTTAATTACAGTATCAAAAAAGAAAACCAAAATCAAAATTGTAACAATCAATAAAAAAAACAACAAATAATTAAGCGAATATTAAAATTATGTTTAAATCAACATAAATAAGTAAAAGTAAATAAGTAAAAGAAAAGCCAAATTATTTTTAAACGAACAAAAAATAACCTTTACGAACAAATAAATATCATAGAAACAAACAAATCACGCACTGGACGCATGCAAAGCAAAACTCTTTTCATTTATTTAATATTGTTCTTTCAAATTAGCTAAGTATTATATTCAGTTTGGAAAAAGAACTGTGATTTTGTAGCAAACGCTTTGCAAAATAAGGGATTATTCATTTAGGAAAGTACTTTAATTTTTTCCTTATGATAAATAATCGTCACGGTTGTTTAGTCGGTAGGGTGCTCGCTTCTAGTTCGGTCTAGAGTTAGAATCTCTACCGCGACTGACCTAAGTCGATATAAAATAGGTAGCAACTGTTCCTTCGCTATGCGCTCAGCATTTTAAAGGGAAAGTTGCTTCCTTCGGACGAGACCTTTAGAACCGAGGCCCCATGTCGCTATGGATGTTGGCACAATATAATTCCCTCACTGCTCAAAGGCCCCAAGTGCCAAGTAAAGGTGAAAATTTAAAGCCCTTCACTGGAATATGGTGACGTCTCAGTATGAGTGAAATATTCCAGAATGAAACGTAAAACTACACACAATCAATCTGTTGATAAATATTTATTAAATAATTGCATTATGTATTTTAAAAGTAGTGTTTATTTAAAAGATGTTATGTCTTTGTAATTTCTTATTACTAATAACCAAGTTAGATAATTTAGATATTAGGGGGATTTATATTGTTGTAATATCTTTTTCCACATTAAACGCTGCATTTAAACATTTCAAACGTTTTATTTTTTTACTGTTATATATTACTTTCAAAAATATATACCTCTTTAAAATATATAATTTATCTTGAATTTCTCTGAGATTTTTCAACAGCCGACTTTTCAAGTGTTTATACTTTTACCTCTAATGGATTAAGGAAGAGAAATTCAAGTGTATACTTAATTGAGTACTAGTATGTCAAATAAAGAATGAATGATTTTGTCGTCTCTAGAATCCTTTTTCGTTAGTTTTACTTGTAGTTAACATTTAAACACTGAAACTTTATTATTAAATTCGAAAGTAATTTTTTCATGCATTTGTGCAAAAAGATAGACTCAGATAAATCTCATTATTATTTGCTCCTTTTGCATTTAGTTAAGTTATGATAATATTTTTTGTGCTTCATGGTTCCTCGGAATACTCGTACAGAAGAATTTGCAAATTGCAAATGTGAATCAGGTCAACACACACCTCTTTAATAAAATTCACATATATATCAAGCGGTTTTATATATAATGTAAACAATAAATAAGCTAAAAATATATATAAGAAAGCATTGTCAAAATTCAAACCAATGTTCTCCATGAAAACGTTTTATTACTATACAACAAAAGCAATGGAAACAAATTTTTATAACTGACTAGTTCTTCCCCTATTTTATTACGATGTGTTATGCTAATTAATAAAAAAAAATCAAACAAGTGTTACATATAAGTTTTGACAACAATGTTCTAGTAAAATAAATAAAAAGAAAAAAGTTTAAATATTCTGTTTAAATCATGAAATTGCCCACAAGAGTACCTTACTTTTCCTCGTTAAATGCAGTTATATATTTTTTTGTGTAATGTAGAATCATATTGTACATAAGTAAAATTATATTCCAGGCCTATTTCTGTCTGCATTTTATAATTGATGTTTTTTTTTTAAAAATATTTGATTTTTATGAGAAATGTCGAATGTCCAATAGCATAAACGGGAGATTTTAAATTAGCAAAAACTGTCGCAATGATTTGATGTTGTTGTTTTTCAGAAGAAGCATTCCTTATCATTCAAACAGACGTGTTATCAAGAGTAAATGGTCAACGTAAACAAAAATGTTTCAGATAGTAAGAAAAAATACAAATAAATCATTACGAAAATTATACTGATTATATCGTTTTAAAATCCTAAACCAAACAAAAATAAAACAAAACCCGGCAAGAACGACTTCATATTCCTGAAAAATCCTACGTGTAAATGGAAGGAAGTCAGTTGAGGTGATAGCACACACAAACTGATCGTCAGACAAGAAGGGATGGAGTACGATGGCAATATCACAGCGACACCTCGCGGCTGGCAGGATCTCAGTTTCCCGCTATATAATTACCGTCATATTATGAATAATTAAACATTCCTAAAATGAAGTTACACATGGGGCTACTCAGGAGAGTTACAAGTCGACTTTAATGCCTTGTTCATCTTTCGTTTCATAAAACATGATAGTGAACTCTATAAAATACAGGTTTGAAATTGCAGACTCCATTAAACTGTCTTTATTTCCTGCCATAATATTCATAATGGATGAATGGGGAGGCAATCTACAGGAAAACGTCTATGATGAAAACGACCCAGTTTTTAAATGTGTCAATGAAGTAATTTAATTAAAATTCCCAATAGAAAAATGCACACTTACCCTTTGTAAAACTTTCAGATTGTCCAAGCCATGGACTTGTGCCTAAAACGAAAAAAAAAAACATTATTCAAATGAATTTCTAAAACATACATACATACTTAATGCTTAAACTGATATATAATAGCTTAAGTTCCATTCAGAAAGTAATCCAATAATTTTAACTCATATTTAGACAAATTAAGTTCAGTGCGAAGTGTTACTTAATTATATAATTATTAATAAGTGTTTTTCACGAATCAAATAAAACAAGATCAAATATAACATTAATAAAGATTGCATTACATCAAAAATAAGGAATCGTGAAATCTACGAAATATTTCAAACTTTAATAGTTTATTCAGAATACAACTTTCAGCAGAACAGCACATCAATATATACTAATAGCAAATAATAAATCACTCCTTATACACAAAACAAATATGTTTCACTTAGATAAACTCAAATTGACTATTTATATTATTTGACTATCCCTAGAATGATTTAATTTAGGTAAGAAAGCATTAAAAACTAAAAAGATATATCCTAGTGCGGTAAGAATGGCACAACATTGTATCAAGACTGTATAGCCATTATAAAAGCCTGAATTTCTATAAAAGTTTCCTGTATGCTATACACTGTAGTTAATTCTCATCTGAATTAAAAAATGAAGTGTGATTTTAATTTATTTTGTTTTCTTTAGAGCTTATTTGTATTTCACCTTAAGAAATTAAACTGAAGTAAAATTGTCCGAATTCTTGTAATCTCTAAAAGACAGAGAAATTGCATTTGAGGAAAAATAAATTCCCAAATGTAGAGAAAGCAGTGCTTTTGTCTATTTCTTCTGTAATTTTGCATCTTTTTTTCTGTAAAATTGTTCTTTTGTTTTTGTTTTCTTCTTTTCTTCAGCTTCAGTTACTAATTTATTATGTAAATATCTTGACCTTCATATCGTGAGAGGGCTAAAATAGGCTGAGAATGCTGCCCAACCCTATTCACTTCTAGCACTGTGAATAAAATATTGTTTGAGTTCGAGAAAATAGTGTTCGCAGTACATGTTTGTCTGGTACAATTGTTTACTCCACACATACAGCTGTATATTGCGATTATATGTATCTTATTTAGAATTCATCATTTCTGATATTTGAATTCTAGTTTAATATTGAATATCAGTTATACAAATGTCAAGTTAATGTTACTTTAAACTGTCTTAAGTATAATTATGCCCATCAACCATAATTTTATTTGCTAGGATTTTTTTTTATGATAATGGTTTGAAGAAGTGTATTTAACCACTTAATTTGATAACTGAAAAAATATATTTAAGAATACAAATAGTGTTTTATGTTTTTATATGATTTTAAACTTAAATCTAACTGATTGAATGACTGTCTTACTTTATTCACAACATTTGAAGTTAAACGAAGTAAATAATATGATATATTCGTCAGTAATATTATTTAAAAAAATATTGATTCTTAATTGTTTTATTTATGATAAGTTCTTGTTTCAATGTGTTGAATAAATTAATTCAATAAAAGATTGCTTATGATCTCATATATGTCATATTAACATATTCTGAAATAGCGTTACATTCACATATTTTCAGCTAATCATTGCATTCTAATTTTTCAGAAAAGCTTATCATAAAGTAAAAGTTCACTAATTATAAAACACAAATTATATCAAATGTAACACGAAGTGAGATATCAATTTTTGAAAAAAAAAAGTGCAAGAAAAATGTCTTCAAATAAAAGAGAAAAACTTGACAGTTTTTGTGATCTTTTTTTTAAAATTATTATTTATTTATGTATAATTTTATTTTTTTTCTTTTTAGGAATTCATGATGTTCTGTAAGTTAGACGTTTTATCAAGCATAAAAATGGCTATTTTAAAATCATTTATATATCATTATATTTAAAAAGTGCTTGTAATTGGTGAATATATTTGTATGATTCTGTAGAGTCCTAAAATATGAATACACGACAAGGCAAACGTCATAATCTAGATAACACAATCACCTTTATTTATTTACGAAAGTGATTTTTATCCAGAAATAATACATCATTGCTATGAAGGTAATTCTGATGTGTATTTCTTAGGACTCTACGCAGTCATTACTATTCGCAATTTAGACGAGCGTATAAATTAAATCACATGCCAGAAATTTTCTTATTTAGTCCCATGTGTATTGCTTTTTAAATTCCCTACAAAATGTATATAATTCTTTTTTCAGATTACTTTTATGTTTTAATTCTTATTACTTTTCTTTTTAAGAGTACTTCCAGGGTCGATGGTTCCGAGTAAAACTTATCTTGTTTGAAATTTATCTTTGATCAAACTTTTAAACTTTTCAACTGTCCAGGACATTATTTTTCTATATTAACATTTAATTAATTTCACATCTCTGAGAGAGTAATGATTATAGTATGATTTCGTGATTGTTCGTGTGTTTCCTTAAAGTTTGGGATTATATATTTATTGTAGAACCAGATTGTCTCAGAAGAAGCTTTTAAAAACCAAAAGTAAATCAAACAAAAGAAAAAATCGTCCGGAATTAAAACCAGTTTTATTGATTTACAAAGAGATTTTGGATTTTTCTCTTTTTTTTAGGTCTATGATTTTTAAATATTAAAAATGTAATATAGTACCGTTTTATATTAGATTTTTTAAAAATATATCATCAGCGCATTTTTCTCCTTTAATATATCATATTAAATAAATTTTATCTTATTTTTATTTCAGTAAAAAAAATTAATAATAAACTTCTTTGAACAAATTTGTCTTAAAAAGAATCCACTGATATTTATTCCTATTAAATACAATTTTTTACATAAAATTTTAAAGGGGAAAAATAAAAATTATTTTTAAAAAAGCAAAGAAGCAAGCAAATTAACAAGAATAATATACTAAAGAGAAACCAACATTAGAAAAGAAAACTGAATATATTCGAAACAAGAAAAATTGAAATAAAAAAATTCGGTAGAACATTAATTTGACCAAACTAAGATCAAATTTAAAAAAAATAAGTAATGATTTCACTTCTATGTAAATTAAACTAACTTTGAGAAAACAATTTTTAATAAAAAATCTTCAACCTCTATAATCTTGCATCTTTTTATCATGTTTAATCGGTGGATTTTTTGTTAGTTTATAGTTTAATTTTGATGCCAATTGGAAACGCAATGTCGTGTTTGAACTGTCAAAGAGATTTCTTTTCAAGTTTTAAACATTGTACTAGAATATTGAAGCATTTTCCATTAAATAAAATATGTGTAATAACCCTGTTATAATATAGAAAAACATTTTTTTTATTTAAATCTAATCAACAGATAATGAAATGATACAAATTAGATGAATTGATGACGATGATGTAAGATTTGTATCACATCACTTAATTATGATAACCAAATAAAATGATCTTTCAGCTTAGACTTGTTCTTATACAACCTTCAAATCACCGCTCTGTCAACGATAAAGATCGGTGTTGTATATTTTTCCATGATGTACCCTGTATATTATATCAACGTTAGGAGGCCATGACAACTTAACTCAATGAAGAGGTTCAGTTTACGTGTAATTTTGTTAGTTCGGTGTGTGCCTTAAGTTGTTCTACAATTCTATATCAGTTTTCCAATAAATCAAAGGTTTTATGTCTCTTGTATATTGGAATCGATAGATTATTTAATTTACCAATAAAATGAAATAAAGGAATCAAAATTGGAAATGCAATTCTTTCGAGGACCCAAATCTTATTTGCCAATTTCACGAACAACTAGGCTCGAATTATCCGTCTCGCCGCGACTAAATTTAACTAAGTCAAATTTTCTAAATCGCTTTTGAAAAGGGAGGCCTTTCTTATTAAATTTTCTGACAATTTCGCTGTTTATATCAATTTTGCCTCGTAAATAAACAGAATTTTTTCAGCTTAAGCGAAAATTATGTAAAATGTGTATCTGTACATTAAGTAATCCAATTGTGCGACAATCAGAAGCGCTAAGTATGCGCCACTAACGCAGTTAGACGCACGTAAAACAATTTTCTTTCCCCCAAATCTTATTTCGTCGAGAGCGGCTGAGCAATATAAGCGTAAATTTTGTTTTACTTACCAGTTGGGAAAACAGGAGGTTGTGGGTGATCACGCGGGCGAGGCATCATGCTACAGCTTGCAGAACTTATGCTAGGGTTTGGTGGGAAACTCCGCACCCCATTGTAGCGGTATCCCTGGGCAGCCATCTGGCCGAAGGGGTTACTGTCCCCGTAGGTGCAGGGGATATTACATCCTGCTAGAGGATTCTCCATTCCAGGAAGGGTACAGTTACCGGCATCGAAAGAATTTTGTCCTAAATACGAGTACTCCATTATCAAGAGTTGATGACGTTCAAGAAAGAGTAGGTATAAATGGTGGTCAGTCGACTGCAAAACTTGGAGCGACAGATGCCCGCTACAGTTCGGGGACTTATGTTTTAACGAATTACTGGTGTCCCGAAAGCTATATTTTGATTAGGATAAATGGGTATTGATGAAGTTTACAAAGTGAGAAATTTGCAAACTCCTGGGACATTTATTTATGGAGAAAATGATTAAATTATAATGTTCCTTAGAAGAGAAATAATGAGCACAGCGCTCTGCGTTTATTGGAGAATAGAAACACTGAGGCGGGCTCATCGATTTTATTCGATTCCGCTTTCTATACTTCGTACGGTACCAAAAGACAGAAGGCAGTTTTACTTTTACAAATATTTATAGATGTCTCTGATGTGAAAGAGGATACTGTTGACTATTTACCGATATGATCCACTTCTGATCTTCACATAAAATTGTGACAGTGTACAAAATAAACCATGTCAAATCTATAGAAATACCTACAATATTACCAAATGATATAAAGCTTTAGAATTTACTTGAAGAATATCGTTTTAAACATCTTATTTTAAAATGTCTTCTTTGCAGTAGGCAATGAACTTTTTCAATTTTTTTTTAATTCACTGTTTTAATAAATATTTCTGTGTCACTTAGATCTTTCGTTTTATTATTTTTATTCTTTATTTTAAAAATAAAAAAAATCCGAAATGAAAATCTCAAACAAAACATCGTTTTTTTTTTTAAATTTTGTCCAAAAGTAATCAAAATGATAGATGGTAACAGTAAAAATTTTTCTCATATTTAATTCACAAGGTAGTTGAAAATGCAAGAGATATTTGGAAAAAAAAATGTAATTAAATTCTTGAACTATACTTCTGTTTGACTTCTTTTAAAATGAATGTGTCCTTGTAATAAGTCAAGCATGTCGTCATATGGTCCAGTTATGTTAAAAGAAAAAGATGTCTAATTTAGTGCAGAAAACATTTTCTCCCAATTACAAAATGTAAAAAGCCATTCACTTCCTCATCCGGTCAGTTCAACACTTGAGTGCCCTCCAAAAGGAAAGGTCAATCTAGGCTGATCATAGAATAATAAACCAAATGTTTAAAAGCCCTCCAAAATTGAGGAGCACCCACTCGATGAAATTATTCTGAATATGAAATCAATATCAAAAGAACTTCAAAGATCTCTCCTTCTGTCTCTAGACGACTCTTACCAAAATGAACTCCCTCCGTTGTTTGGTAATCAATTAAACAACTGAAATAATATTCGGTTGATGATTGTACATATATTCAATAAATATATTCCGAGAAAATTAAGTACAGTTCTCAGAAAATATTTTATTATTTGATAAAAAATTATTTGTTTTTGTTTAATCAAATAAAGTATTTTTTTTATATTTGTGTTCAGCGCTGAAATACATGTATGTTAAAATTATTTTAACACTGTTCAAAGAAATTATTTAAAGTGTCTTAGCAAATTCATGAAGACTTTTTAAAAAAAATTCTTTCTTTTTTTTTCGCAGATATAATCAATAAAAAGTAAGCAATAATGTAATATTTATAAATTAAGTAAATCTTTGGTATATGAGGAAATGAAACAAAGAAAAGTTACAATATAGTGGCAAAAAGACAGCAGACTGGAGAAAGCAAAGGCCAGACTGGTAATACTCGCCATTTGTCAATATTATCATTATAAATACGAACAACTAAACGGTACAACAAGTTAATCAAGGGCCAGAGAAACATGGCTTCTTTGTAGCAGTGACACTCGATCCCGATATCCTTACAGCCAGAAAATTGGCCCTGATTAAATTTCGTAACATGATACCTTAATTGTCGAGGTGTCTCTCATCATATTTTACCCATAAAGATTTATGAATTTTATCCCATATGAAGTTTGCTTCATCTGAAGAACAAAGTTGCCTTGGGAATGTTAATTATAACACTTAAATCTGATTTGATTAATTAAATTTTTATGGTGGGAGAATTGAAAAGAACAGTTAATTTACTGAAATTAATTGTTCATTTATTAAACACTCTTGCTTCATCTTTCAATTCCGATTTTTTTGGTCGGTGATTTATCCGTTTATTTGGTCTAATGTGTTCCTCATTTTATGTGTTTTTATAAAATCCAATTGTAGAATTTTTCAAGGATGATGGCAAAATACTTTATTGACTTGCTGAAATATATTTCCTTTCCTCGTGCTAACGAATCTTTTTTATTTAAAATTTTAAACTTGGGACTGCATGCTCTGTTTTAATTAACGCAACAAAAAATGTTACCATAAATCATGGATGTTTATGCTTCCTCAGAAAGCAATTTTTTTCTTCTCCAAATTTTTCAAATAAAATAAATGCCATATGCAGGGCGAAAGAAAAGTGAAGCATTCGTTTCAGAATTTATTTATTATTCATGGAATTAAATAAGAAATCAGGAATATACAAAGAATATGATTTTGATATTTTTTTTTTTATCAAATTACAGCACAGTTTGCTAGAAGAATCCAATTGAAAAACTCGGAATCTTAATGACTTAGAGCATTATTTTAATTAATTGACGCTATTTCAATTGACATACGAAAAATTACATGTTGTCATCAATTACATTTAGCAAAATAAAATAAAAACACTTGACTGTTTATTTCTTTCAGCGCATGACAAATACAAAATTTAATAAACGTTAATTTCATTTTTTTTTTTTTTTTGATAAAGAACTAACAGTTTTCGCAACCATTACAGAAAAAATAACCAACTTTCGCGGGTTATTTATTTTTTCAGCGTTGGTTGCAACCGTTAATTCCCTTGTTGTTTGTTTATATGTTTAATTCCTTTTCAGAATTTTCTCCTCATATCGAGACGCAACCACTTGCCGCTGAAAAAGGATGAGAATTTTAGACCTCTACTCGACACTTAGATACTTTGAGCATTGAGGAGTCATACCAGTACCGACTGCGACACGGGATCTCGATTCATACGGTCTCCGGTCTCCATGCTCCGCAGTAGAAATCTTCTTATTTACAAACAAGAAATGCATTTATTTGCTTTAAAAATTTGAATCTTTAAATTGAGTATTTCAACACACTTGAAATCAAAGGTTATCATTGCATGACTTTGTAGGTGTGGTTATTTAAATTTTATCACTTTATTTGCTTGATAAGAGAAAGGAGGCTATGTTTGGAAGGGAAATGTTGCAATAATAAAATGAAGAGTTTTAATTTGTATTAATTTTTATGAAAATGGGTTGTTTCCAATATTTGAAGAATTCGATTATTTATGCATAAACAGCTTTTCTTCTTTTTTACATGTACATAACAGTATAAAGTACAGTTCAGTACGCGATAAAAAAAAAAAGTAGCAATTCTTCCTCCCCAGCGCTCGGCACTTCAAAGTGTTTTTTTTTTTTCGGTCTTTCGGACGAGACCTTAAAAACTGAGACCCCCAGACAGGCTAGGCGTTAGCATGATAACGACCCCTTAATACTAAACAGCCCTAAGTGCGAGTAAAGACTGAACTTTGAAACCCTTCTCTGCTATATGGTAAGGTCTATTTAAGAGTAAAAAAAATTGGGTGTGTCCGGTCGGCAGGGAATGCTCACTCCTGCATGGCACCTTATCCAACTTTTAATGTTTTAGAGGTCAGTGTTTCCTCCTTATTTGGATTGTTTAATGGACCACTATTCGTTATCTCCATATATTTCATGTACAAAACATATTTCTTAGTAGCTTCCAATTAAACTCATTTTGTAAAAAAAAAAAACAGTTTTATTTCTTTAATCGAAATATAAAAAAAGAGAGGAAATGAAAAGTAATCAAAATCATGATAAGGAATATGAATTATAGAAAGAGCAAAAACACGGACCTTGAAAACCACAGAAGTAGATTGAGTTGCCAAGGAAGAGTTAACACACCTTATGACAGAACACAGCTATTAGAGCACCTACCTGGTAAGTCAAACAAAATCAAACCGTATTATGGTTTATCATATTTAGACTTCTGCTTTTTACGAATTGTATAAAAAATCAAGTTATGTATTTAAAAAAGAAAAAGAGTAAAGGGTATATGATTATAATAATATTTCCTACAAAATTTATAAAAACCGATTTATGGTATATTATGAACTATAAACTAGTTAAACTGTTTAAATAGCCATCTTTTTGAAAGATTTCAAACAAGTGGATAAGCAATAAATGTTTCGTTATTTGTTGATGTTCGGATACACTGCAGAAAATGTTTACATGACCTGCTTTCGTGGGTAATGTATTTTTATGCAATAGTGCAATCCTACTCCCCGATTTATCAAAAAAAAATTAAATTAATGCAAGAATTATAAAAGAATTTTCTAGAAGTATACCTTTTGCAACAACATAGTGTCTAGAACATATAATTTTATATGTATCAGTAAGTAACTGGCATAAATACTTCGCTTCTTAATACTAGCTCAGTGCAGATAATACATGTAAATACATGTTCTATCCTATTTTTACAATTCGTTCAGTCTATATGTGGCGTATTTATAATAAGTTCAGATTAGCAAAATTAAAAAAAGATCTTTCTATTTGCTTGATTACTTAAAAAGATAAAACTTTTTTTGGAAATTGCATAATTTTTTTTGGTTCCATATTCTGGATAAAGTGAACTTAGTTGAATAAATGGTTAATATCTTAAATTGATAACAATTTTTAAAACTACTTAAAAGAAATTTTATTTGATTAATTGAAAGAATGTTTACGAAGGGTGATCAAAATGTTCGCGAACAAATTGAATAACTTACATAAAACAAATAGAATTAAGTTTCAGTGTACATTATTTTTTTTAATTCAATCCACTGTTATTTTAATGCATATCTGCCACTGTTCTGCACATGCGCGAATCACGTGATCTTGGCGGTCATGTGACATGCTCTGAAGCATTCTGTTCATGGACGCTAAATTATTTTTCTTAGTCATATTTCTTACCATGCAAGTTAATTTTGATGACAAGAACAGTCTATTTGTCAGAAATGAACAAGTCTCGGAAAAGGTTGGATAAGGAATTCCTTTCCCAGAAAGAACGTGGTGATCATCACAACCCGAGATCTATGTCTTAGGAACGTTGTTTATCCAATATGGATATAGTTGTGGAAATTTCTTTTTATCATATCTAATATGTTAAAAGTCTTAATTAAACGTTAGTTTAGGGATTTAATAATAATTATACTATTGTTAAGATATTCAACCATTTTTCTAGCTGTTACTTCGCAATCTTTTATAACAAGCTGCCTAACAAAGGATACATCTCTTCCCAAGATTGCTGGGCTAAAAACAAGCGTCATTTTCAACCATCTCCCTCCCACCACTTAAACAATCAGTCCAATTTATGTTTGAAGTCTTGAAATATATTGTCTTCATAAACGTTGTACAAATCATTATAAGATACTTCAAAGGAATT